AATATCTGTCTGGGGATGGGGAGACACCCCTTATTAACAAGGGTGCCTGAACGATGCACATTTATATACCTAACCCTTAACTGTACCCCACACTTTTATAATAAAAAATATGCTTAAAAAAATAAAGGAAAAAAAACGAAAAATATTTCTAAAATTGTTTTTTTTAAAAATATTTTATTTTATTTTAGAGTTGTGGGATACATGTGATGATTTATTACATAAGCAAATTGTGTGCAGGTGAGGTCTGGGCTTCCAGCGAACCCTCTCTCCCCCTGGTAAGGGATCTGGCACCCAGTGTGTGGCTGTGTGCCCCTTCTCCCACCTCTGTCCCTCCCTCCCTTAGCAGTGTCCAGCAATTGTTGTTCTCATTTTTTGCTCAAATATAAATATATTTTAGAGATGGGAAAAAAAAAAGAATCATGTCATCTGCAAAGACTGTTAACTTAACTTGCTCTTTTCTTATTTGGATACCCCCGATTTTCTTCTCTTGTCTGATTGCTCTAGCTAGGACTTCAAATACTATGTTGAACAGGAGGAGTGAAAGTGAGCATCCTTGTCTTGTTCCAAGGAAATGGTTTCAATTTCTGTCTATTTAGCAGTATGTTGGCTGTGGGTTTCTCATAGATGGCTCTTACTATTTTGAGGTATGTTCCGTCTATGCCTAGATGTTCGAGGGTGTTTTATCAAGAAGGGGTGCTGGATTTTATCAAAAGCTTTTTCTACGTCTAGTGATATAAGCATGTGGTTTTTGTCTTTACATCTGTAAGATGTATTTAGTTAAATTTATGGCCTCGCAGATGTTGAACCAGTCCTGCATCCTGGGAATGAAGCCTACTTGGCCATGGTGGATGATTTTTGAGATTTGTTTTTGGATCTGGTTTGCTAGGATCTTGTTTAGAATTCTAGCATCTATGTTCATCAAGGATATTGGCCCATAGTTCTCTGTCTTTGTTTGATCTTTACCTGGTTTGCGTATCTATGTGATGTTAACTTCATACAATGATTTGGGGAGTGTTCCATCTTTCTTGATTGCCTGAAATATAATTAGTAGGATTGGTATCAGTTCCTCCTAGTATGTTTTGTAGAATTCTGCTCAAAAGTCATCTGGTCCAGGGTTTGTTTGTTTGTAGGTAGTTTTTTTCTTATGACATAGTTGATTTCCTGGGTTGCTATTGGTCTATTTAGGGTCTCGATTTCTTCTTGTTTCAACCTGGGGAGGTTGTGTGATGTCAGAAAGTCCTCCGTATCCTTTAGGTTTTCGAGATTTTTTCCATACAGGTGTACATAGTACTCTCTGACAGTCTTTTGTATTTCTTTGGGGTCACTTGTGACTTCATCTTTTGCACTTCTGATTGTGTTCATTTGGACTTTTTCTTTCTTTTTCTTGGTCAATCTAGCTACAGGTCCACCAATCTTGTTTAGTCTTTCAAAAACCAGTTTTTGGTTTCATTGATTTTTTTTGTATTATATTTTTGTCTTCTATGTCCCGAATTTAGGCTTTTATTTTGGTTATCTGGATTCTTCTGCTGAAGTTAGAATTTTTGTGGTCTTGCTTTTCCAGCTTCCCTAGGTGATTTGTTAGGCTCTTAACTTGTGATCTTTCCATTTTCTTCATGTGTGTTTGTAGAGATATTAATTTCCCTCTTATTACTGATTTCATGGCATCCCAGAGGTTTGGGTAAGATGTTTCTTCACTTTCATTTGTTTCTAGGTATCTTTTAATATTCGTTTTGATTTCTATGTTAACCCAGGAGTTGTTTAGCATCATGCTGTTTAGTGTCCATGTCTTTGTGGGTTTGGAGGGAACTTTGTTGGTGTTGATATTTATTTGTATTCCACTGTGGTCTGAGAAGGTGCATGGCAGAATTTCAATCTTATCAAATTTGTTTGTGCTTATTTATGACCAAGAATGTGGTCGATCTTAGAGTGTGTTCTATGTGGTGATGAGTAGAATGTATATTTTGTGGTTATTGGGTGGAGTGTTCTGTAGGTATCAATTAAATCCATTTGGTCAAACATCACATTGAAGTTCTGGATCCCCTTGTTGACTTTTTGTCTTGATCTGTCTAGGGTTGCTAGAGGGGTGTTGAAGTTCCCAGTTACAATAGTGTTAGAGTCAATATCTTTTTTTAGTTTACCTAAAAGCTGCTTTATGAAAGTTGGTGCTAAAAGGAATGCTTTTAATTAAATAGACATGGGAGTGACTTTTGGGAAGTCAAGTAAGCCCTCATGGCCTCATGTGATGACAGAAAATAAAAATAAACTGTATCTCATGAGATCACTGTGAAAATTAATTTAGATAATCTTGCACTATCTCATTTAATATTGTAGGTTACATGTAATAAATGCCCAGTAAAGGTTTAAAATAGTGTTTTTAATGATAAATGATGACTATGAGTTGATGGACACTTTCAAATTCATGTTTCTACATCTGACAGGAAAATTCCCGCATTGCAGTTCTTGAATCTGGGAGTTTGAGGATTCATAATGTGCAAAAGGAAGATGCAGGACAGTATCGATGTGTGGCCAAAAACAGCCTTGGGACAGCATATTCCAAACTGGTGAAGTTGGAAGTTGAGGGTAAGAAGATGCATTCTTTTCCCTCGCAGTGTGATCAGGGGTTCACATTTTGCTGTGAAGACTGTATTTGAGCTTGAGAAAAAAGAGATGTATGTAGCCCAGTTCCCTTAGCTGTTCAGATGTTAGTGTATAAGATCAAGGCTATGAGAATAGAAAAGAAAAACTAAGGAGATAATTTTCACTAGTATAAAAGTTTGTGTTCTATCTATTGCCCATAATCACTGGTAATTTTTACCAGAACAGACTAAATTCACTGTAATAGTAAAATAATAGTACATCATTCTAAAAACCCCTGCCTGGCTTTGGGCAATTCTTTTCTTATTTAAAAATTTGGGCACAATAATCTTAATCTTTTTCAACATATAGAATAACTTTCTAAAATACAAAAAAAGAGGAAAAAGTAACTTATTCTAGAGTGTATTCTGTCACAAAGAGTTGAGAAAAATAAAATACCATATCAAAATATATAACTAAAAGTGGTCCTGATTCTACGAAGCTTGTTGTTAAGGAATTTTTCTTTTCTTTAATTTTTTAAAAAAACAATTAATTCAACAATTTGGTGTGAAAGGTCTTCACTGAAAAATCAAAATCCAAACAGGCCTAATGTTTTATTACTTGTTCATCAGGTCCTTCTTGTCCTAAAATTGTATCAAATTTTGCTTAAAAATAGGAACTACCAGCTCACTTGTTCTAAGTGAGTAAACTGAGCACAAAACTTTTCCCAGCTCTTCCTGTTACAAGACATAAAGTTAATATCCCTGCTTTCAGTTTTCTCATTGGTAAAGGGGTTTTGTTGTATTTCATAAAGTTAGTTGTTTATAGTGTTTATCAGAGTGTCTGGTCCTTAGTACACATTCAATACCTGTTGGCTATAAGAATTATTACCTATCTTTCTGTTTTTATCTGATTGATACAATGTCAGCCTATCACATACTGGCACATTTAAAGTTCAATCAGGAAAGAAGATTTCAAGAATTTCCCATATTTTACTTCAATTCCATCCTATTCTCCTTAGGTCAAAATCTACTCTTTCCTGCAGTTTTTCCTTCTTACTCCAATGGCTTTCTATTAGCTCCATTAAGAGTATTTTTACTTTCTGGATGGACTGTCCTCTCATAGCTTTAATGATCTTCTTTTCCACATTTGCCTCTAATTGAGGTAACAGTTTTATTATATAACTGCATCAATTGCTCATAAAATTTCCATTAGCTTCTCATGAAAAAGAATGGAGTTACTGGGATTAGTCATGGTCAAAATATAAATTGATGTATTTTCTGTATACCTGCTATAATTTATTATCTTCCATATTATCAAAGCTATTTAAAGCTCAGTCTGCAACAACACGTTGGTGTGACAAACAGTAAAAAACTAAATAAACGTACAAATATATTCAGACTCATGAATATCTGCCTAGTTTCAGTTTCCTCGAACTACTATGGAATGATGCTGAATTAATGCTATTCATTTGTCTAAAATACAGCAAAAAGTTTTTTTCTCTTAGGGATATTAAATATGTCTTCTGTATTGCAATGTATAATACTAATCATTTAAGTCACTATCTTCATAATTATTAAGACATATTGCTTTAGTTTTGACCTAGAAAAAAATATCAACAATTTCAATTAGTTAGAGTTCAATTACATAGTTTAGGTTTGTCTTACCATTTAATTTTGTATCATGCTTATCAGTAAAACGAAATACTGCCTGTTTCTTCCTAACATTTAAATTTTTGTGCTTAGTGCTTCAGCAGTTAATATGTGCTACAGATTTTATTAAACTTGCTAGTACTGAGAGCTCATAATACCATTTAAAGTTACTCTCACAGTAGGTAAGATTACCATTTTTTAGCACACATGTCTATTTCTAGTCCCAGTTTAGTCCCTCTTAAAATAGCCAGAATATGTGACATGTTTAATACAGTTGCTGGTATATAAGCATTCAATAAATGGCATCTACTGCCATTATCATTCTTATTAAAAAATGAAAATTGTAACAAATCCATTTTAGCTCTGGAAGCTCTGAAACATTGACTTCCACTAAAAGAAATATTTGAGTCATTTCCACAAGATATAATGTAGATATGACCTATATACAGGAAGAGCGAACTCAACCTACAACTCAGAACAGGTGAAAAAAACAACTGAATAATGAGTGGAAAAACCCCAAAGTACCTGTGAATGCCTGCTAGCTTGGCAATGGTGAGAGCTGAAGGTGATGAGGTTGGGCCAAGGTCAGTCAGGGCAAGTGAGTAAATTTAGGTACCAACTTGTAATTCTGCCAATGAGTTTTGAAACAGTGATATCGAATCAAAACTCCATAGTGCTGCTTGATGATGAGCTATACTTAATTGTAGATGGGCATACAGGAAAAGATAGGGTTTTGCCATTGATAGCCTCTAATAAGGATAAAAATGCCACACCATGGAATGGGTACAGTGTGTTAACTGCATCTTAGCTGTCATAACAAACATAAAAGATGCATCCAATCACCCAGAAGTAGCACTCCCTTTCTAGATTATCATCCTCAGGTTGCTGGATATCTGAAATGGCAATGCAAAGGTATCATACCCTTCTGTCTTACCTTAAAAGATTCAAAGAGTGGCATACAAAATTCAGTAATGGAACCATCTAACTCAAACATGAGTATCTTTCTGAAAATATGTGCAATAGAAGGCATTTTAAAATGTGCCATTGATGCTCAATGCTTTATGTAGATTATCTCATTTAATTATCATTAATGGTTTGTGAGAAAGGCCATATATTATGCTATTTTGGAAAATAGAGGTTAGGTAAGTCACACAAGGATGCACAGATAGCAGCATCTAAGAAATTGAGTAACACGGAATACTGTCTGTTTCATTAAAGAAAAAGATAGTCTTGTGTGACATTGTCAAGAGAAGTATCAGAAAGGAAGTGAGGAAAGAAGACAGATTTCTGTAAATGAAGGAGAGAGTTGGGGGGCGGAGAGCACAAATCTTTCAATAAATTTGGCAAATAAAGAGAAGAAGTCAAAAAAAGGAAGCAATAGCTGGAGGTATGTTTGGCATGCAGGTAATGTTTTGCAAGATTTCTCTTTTAAATAGGTTGAAATGTTTAAAAATTAAAAATGTTAAAATTTGAACAAGAAGGACCTCAGAGAAGAAAAACTTGAACATATGGGAGAGAGAGAAATATTCAAAGGAATGTGATGGTTGAGAATGCATGAGGGTCGCAGAAGCCAAGTGAAATGATCAACTTTATACAGAGTGACCACATGTCCCAGTTTTCCCAGGGCAGCTCTCGTTTACACCTGTTGTCCTGGAATAATTATTAATAGAGCCTTTTACTTTCAGAAGTATCCAGGCTTTCACAATAAATTATATGGTCACTCTCCTTAGACAAAGGAAGAGAGATTGTTCTTCCTTGTAATAAGAAGAAAGAAGAAAAGGGCTGTTTTCCAGTGTAAATCAGTTCATAAGTTTCATGGATGGAATTTGATAAATCTGTTCTCATGGTCTCTATTTCTTCTAGAAAGTAGAAAGCAAGGTTATCTTTTGAAAACACTGTTTCAAGGGGGCTGGGAGAAGGGTGTGGATAAAGAGAGTGGAAAGATTTAAAAATAGCTGTGGGATGGGAGACATGACTCACAAGGGAAACAAGGATTGGGGGCAAGGTGAAGATTTTAGTAGAGAATAGGACCATGAATATGGAGTTGCATTAATTTGTGTAGTTGCATAGTCTACCCCTCCCCCTCCACTCCCTGGTGAAGACCTACTATGCAGGGATATATTTTTTTAAAAGTAGAAAATTAAATTCAAAGGTCAGGCATAAGTTTTGGAGTTCTGCCAGAAAGGAAAACAGGGCACTAAGGATTTGAGAATATCACAAGAGAAAGATTGAAGCAATTAATTATGGAATCTTTAGGCATCAAATGCACCTAAGATTTAATATCTGAATACCAAATATACTAAGATTTCAATCTAGGATTAAACACTAATGCTGTAGCAATATGACAGACAAGATAACATGAAAATTGCCCTACTACAAACACCCAGAAATGCTGAATTAGTTGTATAACTCATAAGAATAAGATAAGATAGAAGTCTCAAGAAGCAGAAATGAATCAGAATGAAAAAAATAGAGCATTAAGCTCATGTGCTGGCTCCTTATTGCCCTGGAAGTAATGAAAGAGATGCCCATTTTTATAACCTAGATCAGTTTGAAGACCCTTAGAGGGAAGGAAGCAAGGTCTTGGCTCATGTGAAGTGGAGGTTAGCACTGAGACCCTCACATAAAGTGGAAAGATGGGCCACAAAAATTCCATCTGTGGGCACATACACACACAAAAACAGCACAAAGGCTTGTCTGTCTTTAACTAAATTGTAGCTGTGAGGGAGAAACAAACAACAAATCAATAGGCCTTCTTCTTTTGAATGAATGTTCTACACTCAGGACTATAACTTTCACAGGTTTGGTATTAATACTAACAACAAAAACTGGGAATTCCAGCTGGAGAAATGAACATAAAAATTGGTTCCAAGCCAAAAATTTAACAGCAACAACAACAACCAAAAAGTTCAAAAAAAGAAGCTCCTGGCTGAGCATGGTGACTCACATCTATAATCCCAGAACTTTAGGAGACTGCAGTAGGTGAATTGCTTGAGCCCAGGAGTTCAAGATCAGCCTGGGCAACATAGTAAGATTTTGTCTCTACCAAAAAAGAAAAAAAAAAAAAAAAGATAGCCAGGCATGGTGTTACACACTATGTAGTACCAGTTACTCAGGATGATGAGTTGGAAGGATCACCTAAGCCCAGGAGGTCAAGGCTGCCATGAACTGTGATTGTCATGGTCATGCCACTGCACTCCAGCCTGGGTGGCAGAGTGAAACCTTGAGTCAAAAAAGGAGGAGGAGGAGGAGAGAGAAAGAAGAAGGAAGAAGAATACAAAGAAGAGGAGGAGGAGAAGGAGGAGGAGGAGAAGGGGCAAATATACTAAGAACAACAACCACCACCCCACTACC